TAGCAGGTCCCACAGCTCCCGGCGGGTCTCGACGTCCAGGCCGGAGGTGGGCTCGTCCAGTATGAGTACGTCGGCGCCGCCGGCCAGGGCGCAGGCCAGCTGCGCGCGGCGCTGCATGCCGCCCGACAGCTGCTGGCACATGGCGCCCAGCTTGTGCTGCAGGCCCAGCTGCCCCGCCAGCGCCCGGGACGACGCCCGCGCCTCCGAGTACGTGCCGCGCTTCAACTAATCAAAACACGAGGAGATAATTAACTTAATCGTCGCGAGTTACTCAGTGAAAATACTGAGAAAAGCTCTACTAGTTTCGTTGCACGCGACATCGGTGCGACCGTGCACGCTGCTCATGAGGAATAGCCCATCTGTGGCTCGAAATTAGTAGAGCTTTTCCAAGTATTATCACATGAGTAACCCGCGACTTTTAGTTGGGTATTAACTATTGGTATCAAATTACAATTATTGCTCAAAAATTATTAAGCTAATTAGAAATTATAGGCCCAGGTTTCCTTACATTGTTTTCCTTCACCGTTTGTCAGTGGTGTCTAAATAATCTTCGTAAGATTATATAAATTATGATCAAATTGCCAAAGCGATGTATCTAGATGTTGTGGAGATCTCAGAGGGCTTAATTACGAGACCGCCCTGAAAACCAAGTGATAATGTTGATAAAACTCACCATAGTAAAGAACATGATATGCTCCCGCAGACTGAGGTCGGGGAAGAAGAGGTTGTGTTGCGGACAGAGCCCGAGGTTCTGCCTGACCTCGTCACGTTGTCGCAGCGTGTCCTTGCCGTTCACGTACACGTTGCCCTCCGTAGCACTCGTCATACCTGACGGTATAAAACCTCTTTAAAATATTTTACAAACAAAATATACTTATTATCTGTTATCTGTGGCAGCCAGCGGTGGATTGGCCTAGTTTTGCACGATGAAGTAATCATTTACACGTCGGGGAGTCATGCTTTGGTACAAATTCGCTGGTTCAACAGTCTCAAAGAAAACTGACATGAAACCACGCTTGCGTTGTGTTTCGTCGTATGAGTGAGGTTACCGGAGGGCCATTCTCATGACCAAACCCTGAATCCCGAAAAGGCCAACAAAGCATTTCTAATTAGTCTCTGGTGTTGCGGTAAATTGCTTGCTTAAAAATAATAAGTTACCAGTGATGATAGACATGAGCGTGGTCTTCCCGGCGCCATTATGTCCCAGCAGCACCGTGATCTCTCCCTTGTACACCTCCAGCGACACATTCCGTAACACTCGCTGCTTCGGGTACACCTGCAGTCAACATCATTACATCATCATTAATTTAAATAAAATAAACAAGCACTTTTGAAACCGAGTACAGGCCTTACGAATGAAAAAAAATCATATATCACATCTTATTATACTGCCTCATTAGCCGAGTGGTCGCAAGTGCGACTGCCGAATAAGGGGTCTCGGGTTCGGGTCGGGCAAAATATTACTGGGTTTGTAAAAACCTCAGTAGTAGCACGGAGTCTGGAAATGTGCCCGATATATGGCAATAGGCTCACACCCTATTACATGGGACTCATAACATAAATATTGAAAAGTGGGTGTTACATAGTACAGTGGCATTAAGTGCTGTATTGTGCACCTCTGCCTACCCCTTCGGGGATATAAGCCGTGATGTTATTATTATACATATAAAGCTGAAGAGTATGTTTATTTGAACGCGCTAATCTCAGGAACTACTCATCCGATTTGAAAAAATCGTTTTATGTTGAATACTTCATTTATCGAGGAAGGCTATAGACTAAATCATCACGCTGTGATCAATACACTGCACGGTTGGTGCGGTGGCTGGGCAACCGGCTGCCGTGCAACGTGTCGCGGGTTTGATTCCCGCACGGAACAACACTTTGTGCGATCCACAAATTGTTGTTTCGGGTCTGGGTGTCATGTGTATGTGAACTTATATGTTTGTAAACGCACCCACGACACAGGAGGCAATCCTAGTGTGGGGCAACGTTTTTTAAATAAAAAAAAAATAATAAAAATACGAGCTGAGCAGACCGGGTGCAACCGCGCGGAGGCAGCTAGTTGAAATATACATGTTTTAAATAACCATGGGCGTCATATTACACAAGACTATTTTCGCTGATTCTCTATTTAACCTGAAGGTTGACTGGGAGATAATACCATATCGCATTAAGTCCGCCTTATGTACCTTGTTTTTCTGTGCATTAACTCGTCGAGTACCGATTTTGTAGACACAATTATAGAACAATAGGTTGCGGTCACCGGTGACCGCTTGGTGTTTGACAGTTTAAAGAGTTAATAAATAATTAATATGAATGAGCATCGTGAACATAGTACGTCTCACAAAAGTTTTTAGAGAAAAAACAGCTCACCTTAGAGACGTTGACAATTTTGATTCCGATCTCTGCGTTTGCTGGTGGCGACTCGAAGTACCGCGGGTCCTGAGCCATCGGGTCCTCCTCTTCAGACTCCACATCCGGGATCACCTCATTCTTACTCCAGTATTGAGTCTTAAAATAAATACAACACTCATAAGTATTTTAAAACAAATATTTTTATATTGGAAGTAAAGAGAGAGATCATCATCAACAGCCTATAAATGCCCACTGCTGAGCAAAGCCTCTTCTCACACGGAGAAGGTTTGAGCATTAATCACCACGCTTGCTCAATGCGGGTTAGCGATTACAAACTTACAATTAGAAATTATAAGCCCAGGTTTCCTCACGATGTTTTCCTTCACCGTTTGTCAGTGGTGTCTGAATAATCTTAGGAAGTACATATAACTCGGAAAAAGTCACATTGGTACTTGCCGTTGGTAGGTTTCGAACCCACACCCTCATGCATGAGAAGCGGGCGTCTTAAACCTCCGGGCCACCACGACAAAGAGAGAGATACTGTTAATGAAATAATCTAGTTACATTTTTACAACTTTAACAGTATGTAAAGCTCACTCGGCAGTGGACTTTACTGTAGGTCTACTCTACAAAAGAGGGCCATAATCTCGAAGCTTGGCAAGTAGGTTGGAGATCACAGTTTAAAGGATCAGGTTTATCTGAGAGCGCTGCCCATTCTCTGTTAAGTATTCTTGGGAGCAATGAAACGGAGCCAAAGCATAATCTTTTTCATTTCTTGATAATAGTTGAAATCTGTTAAGTCTTGATAAATGCTCCGGTTCTATGCTCTTAAATGTATTATGTCAACTAGTACGACAGCTGCGGGGACAGTAGGGATTGGTTATTTTAATGACAGTACGTTTTATATGATAACTAGCTTTTACCCGCAGCTTCGCTCGCGTCACATAAGGTTAAAAAGTAGCCTATGTGACATATACCAATACACATAGCGCCATCTATACCAATACGTTTGTTTTCCCTTGGGAATCAAATCAAATTTTCCCGGGATAAAAAGTACCCTATTATTTAATTCAGACTTCTAACTTTACGTCTGCAAAAATTCAAAGCAATCGGTTTAGTAGTTACGGCGTGAAAGCGGAACAAACAAACAAACAAACAAACTCACATTCCAATTTATAATATTAGTAAGGATAATAATTATTATTTGGACGTGTATGTATGAAGTACGCCCGAATACTAATTTTAAATTGTGCTTAAATATCTTGCCGTCTCTGTCATTTTACAAACAATTTGTAGAGACAGATACTTAAGCACGACTTAATATTGAGTGACGTTTGCGTATTTCAGTATTCATCATCATCAGCCTGTATTCGTCCACTGCTGGACATAGGCCTCTCCAATGGCACGCCACTGAGCTCGGTCTTCAGCTCTTCTCACCCAACCACTGCCAGCCACCCTGCGGATGTCGTCACTCCACCTAGCTGGAGGGCGCCCTACACTGCGTTTGCCTAGACGCGGTCTCCACTCTAGAACACGTTTACCCCA